TACTGTGGTGACGGGATAGTGCAGATTTCCAATGGAGAGGAGTGTGACGACAGGAACAGAGTCGTCACTGACGGCTGTGTCAGTAAGTCACATGTCCACGTCAGGCGTTCTGTGAGAGCTCCTTAGTTGTACTTTGGTGTGCACATATATTATGACCCCATCCACCCCTGCTGTCTCATCTTTCCACAGAGTGTAAACACGCCTACTGTGGAGACGGATACCGTTATGAGGGGGCTGAGGAGTGTGACGGAAAGGACTTTGGATACCAGACATGTAATTCATATCTTCCAGGGTAAGCAGAGTACACAACTATATGTTGTCAAAACTCTCTGCTGTATAAGAAGTGTGTGTTGACATGTTTAAGGAGGAGTTTGTGAGATTTAGGGGGATTTAGTGACAACAAGCAGTAAGCATTGCAGATTGCAACCAGCTGAAACTTCTCCTGGTTAGAATTCCTTTAGTTTTCATTGGTCAGGAGGTTTTTACAAGGAGCCGAATTATCTGCAGAGGTCTCTTCCTCTCCAAACAAATGGACCCTGTGATTTAGAGCACTGAATTAAAACACTGAATTAAGCGCTTTTACATTACAAATCAGCGTTTCTTCTACAATGTTTAGCTTGTTGCAGATGGGCCACAAGCCCAGCACCTGCTAATGTCTGCTCACCTTATTTCTGATCCAGACGTTCAGGAGGTTTTTATCAAGAGCTGAATTATCCACGAAGGTCTCTTCCACTCCAATACAAATGGACCCAATAATGGACCCAGTAAAAACACTGAATAAAGCAGTTTCACGTTAAAAATCAGTGTTCCTCCGACACTGTTTGGCTTGTCGGAGACAGCACAGAGTCGGATGGCTCAGCACCTGTCAATGTGTTCTCACTTTTATTCTCTGATAACTTAAGACCCAGATGTTTAAGAGGTTTTTAACCAGAGCCAAATTATCTGTACATGTCTCTTCCTCTCCAAAACAAATGGACCCCTTGATTTAAACCGGTAAAAACACTGAATAAAGCAGTTTCATGTTAGAAAGAAATCTGTGTTTTTGTGATGCTGTTTGTCAGGGAAGTGCTGCTAACTACAGTGGCCGATAAAAAAACATGAATGACCCTATCTAGAGCTAGTGCTTGGTTTGTTCATTCTGGGCTACTGTTAAAACATGGCAGTGCAACATGATGATCTCATGGATGAGGAGCCGCCTCCCTATGTAGATAAAATTGCTTATTCTCAGGTATCGAAAATACAATGATTCTTACTTTCATGTGATTATAGACTAAAGAAAATATACTTGTTGTATTATGTTCCATTGCTGCCAATGTATCCCCCTATATTCTACATATTGGACCTTTAAAACTTGTTTCTCCTGTTACTTGCAGGTCATATGGTCACCTCAAGTGCACACCACACTGTGTTATTGACTCCACAAACTGCAAGTACTTCACTTGAGGAGGAAGCTGGACGGTGCAGCGGGATCCTCTGTGTGTTATTTGGAATATTTTCATGCAAAAAAAAGAACAATAATGCTCCAAGCAAGAGACTCTGAAGGTAGAGGCAGCCAGTGATGAAAGAAAAAAAACAAATCATATATACAGTATATCTATAACTCCTCTGTATTGCTGCTGAGATGCCACGTCGCTCCCTGGAGTTATAGTGGAGGCGAAAGCCTTCACCCACACATAGGAAATGCACAGGACAACTGCACTCAGTCTTAACAAGCAGGACTTAAGACTGGCCTCCTCACCATGAATCAGCCTCTGGATGCAACAGTTGTGTGACAGCCATGCAGAGACTTAATTAAGTGCCAGTGGGAGAAGTTGCAGAGGAGCTGTATTGGGGCCAGAGGCGTATTAATCTTGACCCAGTTACTGTTGAGAAAGAGAGGCAGTAGGACATCCAGAGCCATGGCCTCAGGTATGACAGTGCACAGCATTTGCATGAGGCTGGGATTACTGAGACCATGACAGCAGCTGTCACTATCCGAGCATGTAACCCATCACTTTACTTATTATTGCCAACAAGGCTCTCAGTGTCACATCAAGAATTTAAGTTGTAAAGGGTAAAACCAGGCATGGTAAGATCAATATGCATGGTTAGGGATGGAGACAGAGGTGCGTGAATTATGCACTTACATGTCAGTGAGACTGTTATATCAGGAGGCTTCATTAGCTTGTGGTGGTGCTTGACAGGGGCATTCAGTCAGAACAAGGTTTCATAAATCCAAAAAAATTAAACTTCTCAGGAACCAACAGGTCATGTAGCTCCACACGGCACCTTTCACAGGCATCCCCCACTACTCTCTTTGTAAATAAGATGGCAGTGACTGTACGCTGAAGCACACTCAAAACAAGAGCTTTAAAGTATCGACAACGCGCAATCCTCTAGGTACGATCTGGGTTTCTTCCCTGTGCTTCAGTGAGAGATGACATATTCTGTATATGAAGGCTTGAAACTGTTATGTTCTTAATGTTCTCACTGCACAGGAGAGGCCGGGGAAGTCTGTAGCTGCTAACGATGGGAGGAATTTCAATTCCAGTCTGTTTCTGTGGTCCTTACTGTATTTACTCTAATACCTCTTTATCCAGTCCTTCTGTCTTACAGCATATACAGCAACAGAGAAACTCAACAGTAAACTTAACAGTGTAGATGTAGTCTGCTGCGTGTTGGGCACAGGTGGTGAAAATGACTTTGCCGATATAAGCTGACATTTTCCATAAGCTACTGTATGAGTCGCAGTGCCAAGGGAGAACCTGTTCTCAGCCATACTTACATGTAGTCAGGTGTTATGAGGTGATTCTTCTGTAAAAAGCAATTTAAAGATAAAGACTGTTACTATATTGTCTCCGCATGCTTGAGTGTGAAATGCTTCCACTTTGTTTTGTATAATTCATCGCATTCATCAGCATAGCAGGTGTCTTAAGAAGTCTTGCTCTGCCCAGAGTGTAGCTAAGTACTGTATGTGTGACACCCCTTATATGATAGAGATGAACTGTGCCATGCACAATGCTGAAATAACCTTTTGGAAACTGTGTTGAATGTTCTGTCTGTGCTGCTGTGCTGTATCCTGTACTGTGTATGCACATCAATGCTGAAACATAACATGCATGTGGTAACGTACTGTGAGGCTTTAGAAATATAGTGTACACTGTGACTGGGATAGTGAAGGTTCATTTTGTTCCATGATTATATGATTTATATAGTAGTTGTGGATAACTTTAAAAAAAAGAACTGAAAATAAAACAGGAATTTAAATCATTCAAAGCTCCCTACTTTGTCTTACACACATGCATCTTTAAACTTCAGTCAGGGGTTTTTCTGTGGCTTTGCTGCCAGTGTGTTGTGAGCAAGTGGTGACAGTGATTGGAAGCTGTGCAAAAAACCAGATAGACAGTGATACAGATGCTATTGATGTTCTGTCAGAGCACTCACTGTAAAAAAAAAGAAGAAAAAGCTGATATCTATCAAGTGGGGAAAAGACGCTGTCAGCAGCTCCTTGCAAAGTGCTGTGGTTGACTAAATAGTTAACAGACCACGCAGTGAACACTTTTCTCAGACGTGGCAGTGGGTTTTTCCCCCCAGCTTTTCATTCTGTCTCGACAAAGCCCCCCTCAGAGCTGCGTCTGTGCCTGGAGATGAAACACGGTGATACAGGTTGGGCACGGGCAGCCGGCCAGTGTTGCAGCAGAGATGTTTGAGGCTGGACACGGCCATTTAACTCTATTAGCATGCTGTATTTCTTTTCTAAATCACATCAGGACAATTTGTCTGCTGAGATGCCCCAGTAAAAGCTTACCTTGGCGTATTTATCCCATCATGTGCATTCCCCCTGACCAGACCAATCAGATTTGTACCACAGATGTCTCAGTTGCAGCACTAAATGTCGCTGGAGATGCGGTGGCCAACCTGATTCTGCTGCTCTGTAATGAAAAGATCTGCTGTGCTCACAGAAGAATCCCCCCCAAGTCAAGTGTACTATTTGTGGAGTTTGGGAACCTTGAACAGTTAAAATTAATTCATGAACTAATAGCTGTTGATTTTCCACTCTGTCAGAAATACAGCCATGATGTTAAACATGTAGGATCTATTTTGAGCTCTCACAGGTATTAAGATGAAATCAAACACTTTTTCCAACAAAAGGGGTTATTTTAGTGCACGCTGGGTGGTATAGCGTTACAGCTGCGGCACAAGGGGCGATGCAAAGGATGCCACGGGGACAGGAAGCAGGCAGGGGCCCAGCTGTTGGCCCAAGCCAAGTGAAAATCCCTGACCTATAAGGAGGAATGGCTGGCATGTGGTCCTGGCAGAAGACGCACTACTGCTGCACATGCAAAACACACACAGCAAGGTATGCAAAGGTGTTATCTGAGCTCAGCGCCACTATTGTTCCGACTAACTACAACACCTGTGCAGATTTACTATCCATTGCTTACTCACTGATTTGTTTGGTTGACATTTGAAATGTGGGGTATTTGTGTATGGTCACCAAGGTTGAGAGAATATGGCCTAATACCTCTGGGCTCCTGTCTAATACAAAATATAAAATTACACATTTGTCTGCGATCCCCAAACTAAGGGGATGAGTCAAACCCTCCTCCTGCTCTTCCTGTATTGTAGCATTACTGTACCCATCCTTCTGTACTGCGCCACCTGCTATTTCACAATACTGAATCAACAGAATCAAGCTCCTGAAAATCACCAATATATTTTCTTAAATATCTAGCATCCCCATCCTGCCAGCCCTCATTGACACTGCCACCACCTCTACCACCCTCTCAACCCATGCTTCACTCTCCTCCCTCCTGGCCACAGATTATCATCCCTTGAGAGGAGGTGTCCTCAACCATTACTGCTCTTAATAACCCAGGGTCACTGTAATAGACTTGTGATGTTCTTGTCTGTCTGTCTGTCTGTAACCAGTTCTGAGTGTTTATTTGTACAGACTGTGACAACAAATTTCCTCTATATAGGACAATAAAATATGAATCTGCGACAGCACCAGACACACACTAAGACAACTTAATTATTTATTATGTAAAAATCAAATAGCATCTTATGTACAGTCATAGAAAACCCAAATCAAATGTCTGCAATATTACAATGGAGTATTCTCAGGATTAACATTGGAATTGATCTGCAACAGTGAACCAGCCCATTACACATCTGCGATGTAAACCTGCTGCCAAGGACTAACTTCAAGAATTATTACTGTGTGCATTCCTGAAAACACAAACAAAAAGTTAGAATAAAGGTACAAATACTATGTGGTATGTCTTGTTTTTTTTTTTTGTTTTTTTTTTTTTAAAAAAAGCCCTATAAGGATGTTCCTGCTTTGCTTGAATGGCTCAGTGACTCTATGGAGAAACTTTAACTTGGCCAGGAGGTGGAGTCTTACCACACTTTTTTTTTCACTGTTGGAGTGACATCATAATATATTAAGTACAGAAGATAACACTCAAGTATGTAGAACAGTGCATGGACAAGGTGATTAAAAAAAATTGTAGAGTAGCTGAATGTTATCATAGCACAGAGATGAAGGAGAAGCGATGTAGTTTAACTCTCTATCAATATATTAACTTGGTTAATTTAAGTCCTTGGCCTATATTCAGTTTCTGTTGGCTCCTATGTTACTTAATACATAAAACCATGCAATCAATAAACATGCTCTGTGGCTACAAATGTCCATACATTCACACAAAAGCTGGACTGAACGGATCCCTGTGACATTAATGTGAACTGTATAACTTAAGACGTAATAAATAGACATTATGAAAATGCATTTTATGCATAGGTTTGTGCAGAGGATGTCCACTTAAGTATTCAGCAGTTGTCAGTACTTTAACAGCTACACTTTGTGTTTTCATTCTTGTGTGTTGTGGTACTGTAGGCAGCAGAGGCTAAAGCCATTCCCCATGACAGCTCCTTTTTGGTCCCTCGGAAAGTCTCTAGAGCAATTGTTCAACATGTCAAACCATACATTGTCATCCTGCAGGATCATATTAAATATTTCAGGGAAAGAAACTAAATCAATGTCATTATCATAATGTCCACTGAACTTAAACAGTCAGTGCACGAAAAAGTGTCCCATCACATAATTAAGGCATTTATTGGGCACTGGAACAATCTGATATTACTCTTGTCAAAATAGTGCCTTGTGTAAGTTGTGAGTATCCCTCTTTAATGAATTTAAGGAAGCAGGACAATCTTGATTGAACATTTCTTTGCATTCTGATCAGCTCAAGGGGGATCACACATGATCTTCCAGGTTGTCACTAGAGCCAAATACCTTGTGATTATGCACCTGTACATAAAAAACTACGACACAGCCACAACATGTGCACCAGTAACAAAGTCACCACAAGTCATTATGGTGGGAGTCTGTACGATAGGGCTTAAAATCCCTACACTGTCAATGGTCTTTTAAACAAGACCCACAAAACTACATTTTGTCAGACCGTAACGTCTTCATTGTTAATGCTTGCTCCTTAATACAGACACTGATACCTTCGTCAAACCTAGACCCTCTACTGTAGTAGAGTTTAACAACCACCGGAAACACCTCACACTGACACGGGACATGCTCACCCTACTCTGTACACAAGATGCACTCGTTGCATCTGGCACCCTCCTCCAGCTCTTAGACACTACTCTGCCCCTGCAGTCAGGTCATATCCTTCCTTGAACTCAGATCCTGTCTCTGGTCAAGTTTCACACCACTTCATCAGATTCCAGGTTGTATTCTTCATACAGGGTGTCTAGGATGGCCAGCTGCTTCTGCATGGCAGGTAGGTACACTCCCAGGTCCCTGTGCATGCCGCTAGTGAAGCCGTCCTTCAGCTCATCGCCCTCTCTTGACACTAAGGCAGCGGCGAAGTTTTGATAAGATGGGGCGGCTCTCAGCGCCAACTGGGGAAATAGAAGCATGCGATAGTCACACTCCAAGCACAGATAAACCTCAGAGGGGAAAAGCATCAGTGAGAGGAGGAAATACCTACAGCAAAAACGCCTCGCACAACCCAGCCGTGGTACTGTCGAAGGGTCTTTCCATAGGCATTACCTGGGTGAGAGAACAGACAGAATATAACGAATCTTGAATCTGTTGTGTGAACTTGTTTGTAGATTTGTGCATCCTAGACTCACTTAGAGCTCCCTGGATGTCCTGTTCTCCTGCGTTGACCTCTGACAGGAACTCCTTGAGGAACTTCAGGCCTCTTCTGAGCCACAGCAGAGCCTCTGTGGCTGAGTTGCGCACCTGGGCAACATCTGTCTGAACTTCATGTAACACGATGGACTGTAGCGTGGGGAAACTGTCGGGGTCGGACATCAGCTTCTGGTGAATTTTCTACAGGGTGAAGAGAGTGATATAGTGATGTGAGCGGGAAACAGATCCTGATTCTACTCAGACATATGACAAAACTATAATACATTTAACAGCTCAATCAGTTTTTATATAATTTGCATTGACAGCTCAAGAATGAGAGGAGTGATGAGTCATGTCTGGTTTTAAGCAGCACTGTGCACAGCTAATGTCTCCCTGTGGACATATTATATTGCAGATCGTTAAGTACTAATGTTGATTCATCTTGTTTGTCACATAATATTTAGCACAAGACTTAGAGCTGCTTTTGAAGAACAACTGTGTCATCATTTCCTTAGCTGAACAGTCAAATCTGCTAAAAGACAAAGAGTCAAAGACATGTACGCGTACCTTGATGTTTCCAACAAAATCCATTTTAACTGGTGCAAACACTGTGGATCCCAGCTTGTCTGAGGAGAGAAAATCCATGATCATTTCTTTGTTGCTTATGGAGAAAAGTTTTCTTGTATTAAGACTTACCAAGACAATGTTGTGGTTGTTAACAGCCAGCAATGAAAGATGCAGCTGCCTTGTTTGTTTTAACCCACTACCAAAAGGTATCTAAATTTTTCTAGCCAAACCATTCATACATAATATCCTTTTTGTACCCAGATCTTGACTGAGTAAGTGACTGTGTATGATATTCCTCGCAGCCAATCACTGCAACCATTATTCAATTTAATGTGACATGTAACTGGCCCACTACCGCAGCAGCTGCAACCCATACACTCTGTGGTGTGGTGAAGTTGAATGCTGTGTATATGATGGAGTGGGCAGTTCACTATGTTGAGACATCACTCAACATTCAAGAGTATGTCTACACTACACGCCTGTGGTGTCTGGTGGCATTTTAGATAGTTTATGTTTCCATTCACATGATGGATATCAAATGAAGTAGGAAAAAAAGGTATCAAAGAAAGTACTCTAGTGGTATCGGTATCACTTTAAGGGTACTGATATTGGTAGTCCTGGAAAATGATGAAGGCTTGTAATACTGCTGCGTGACGTAGATGATATCAAACACAGATCATATCACTAGTATCTGGGTATGTGTCAAGATCTGTCTCTCTCTGTCTCTCTTTATGTATAATTTTGTCATATGGATTACTGTAAATTTATTATGTTGATTTGTTCTGTACGACATCTATTGCACGTCTGTCCGTCCTGAAAGAGGGATACCTCCTCAGTTACTCTTCCTGAGGTTTCTACCATCTTCTCCCTGTTAAAGAGTTTTTTGGAGAGTTTTTCTTTATCCGCTGTGATTTGTGATATTGGGCTTTATAAATAAAATTTAAACTGAATTGAATTTGAAAGAGATTGTCAATTTGAGAGCAGCTGGAGGTGAGCAGGCTTAATCGATTAAAAGATCACGTCACTTCGGACAAATCTACAATTAAATTTACAGAGGACCATTATAAAAGGCATCTGGTTACAGTTAGTACAAAACATAGGCTGGTAATACCTTGGCCATCTTTCATGTTTACATACGTGTCGTTGATAAGGTTTTTCTGATAATCTCTCATACCACCAGGTAATTCTTGAAGACCAAAGATCCTAATCATACCTCTCCTCATCACTGGGCCAAGCCTAGTGAAGCTCTAAAAAGTTTTTTGTCAAGAAATGTTGTTTCTAAAGTCTTGCACTTTTTTATATTGATACTGTGACTGTGCATGACGATCATGGACTGTATCAAACGGTGGGCGTAGCCTCCGGGTCTGAAAAGTGAAGCCAATGCCAAGTGCCTTACGCCTGCATTCTTTCTAATGGTCAGCAGGGGGCAAATCCATTGGTTGCAAAAAGCACGAGAACATGACTCTACTTATCACTTAAATTGTTACCTCAGTAAACATTTTCCTAATGAATTTATGGTCTCGATCACTAGTTTTAAACTTTTACTACAGCATGATGTTCATTTTGTCACTAATGGTCTAATTTATAGTAAAATAGACGATAAAGCAGGGTATGCTTTCGGGCATGGCTACTACCTTGTGATTGACAAGGTGCTTTCACAGCAACCTGTCAATAGGGAAAGAAGCATAGCAATGCCTATCCTACCAAGCTCAACCCACTCATCCAAATGCAGTCATTTCTGGCTCCAAATATCCAAGATGGCGATGGACAAAATACTAAACTCAAGGCTTCAAAACAGCGGTCCACAAACAAATGGGGAATGTCATGATGGCTACATCCACTTCTTTTATACAGTCTATGGTGACCTTTATCTATATGTAGTACACTATGTAGACAGACACAAAGACACGCACACAGCCACATGAACATGTATGAGCGAACAACAAACCTAATATAAACTTTAAGGCTACCAAGAATAAATAAAACTATGGAAAGACATACAGCTCCAGAAAGAAATAACAATGACATGTAAGAAAAGGATGATGATGAACCCAAGACAGAAAGCTGCCACCTCATTAATTAAAGACAATGAGAATAAAGGAGCATGCAGAAATGACAAATAAAGTAGAGAAAAAGACTTCCTTATAAAAGTTTTACAGAATGAAATGACCACATCATGAGAAAGAGGAAAAAGGAGTGGCAGATTAAGAGGAGGAGAGACTGAAAGTGACCGGCCTACCTAATACAGGTACTATTGCATAGCATGAGTCCAAAAACTCTTGTGTAGGGATACCATTGTCGTCGTCCAGTCTTATATCACTAAATCTAAAAAAGTAGAACAGATTCAAACAGGAGAATATATTAGAGGTAAGTATGCCATTTCAATTTTTATTTGATCAACTCAAACGAAAAAAAGAAAAGGGTACAAACGTCAAAACCAAGCCAGAGAAATGAGTCACACAGTGTCATGCAATTCTATGCCTGACAATACCTGAGACTAGTCTGCTACTTTGTCTACAATTTAACAGAGATGTTTTGTTATTTTGCTAATGTGACTTTTCTTAAACTGTCTCATCATATTAAAAAGACAAACTCCAAAACGCACACACTGTAGTCCCCATCTTGAATACTGGTTAAGTGAGACAATAATTTTTCTCCATTGTAATACTGTTTACGTCATAACTGAATATTACAGAAATTATTAAAAACACTCTAGTCCACGTTCAGTAACACTCTTCAAGGTCTTAAAAACAGAGAGTAAAATGTTTGAAATACAGAGTGAAACAAAAAGCTTTACAAACCCAAATATCAGATGAGGGCCTCTCTGTGTCATGTGATCAAGAGAGAACACACTAATATAAAACACTTATCATGACATCTTGAAATGGATTCAGTTAAAACTTTCCAAACCTGTTATTATACATCTACTCTGTGCAACACTGTGATACAATTAATATATTTCCACAAACTAAGTAACTGTGCAGTTTAGTCAAAAGTTGCAGCAGAAGTGCAGTGCCTCAAAGACAAAAATACTACATATAGCTTAGATTGGTTAACCCTAATACTGTCATAGTGAAATATCACAGACGATCGTTCAGTAACTTCTACAGTAATCAATGTGTCCTAAAGGATGTGACCTTCCTGAGTAGCATTTTCATACCTGTGGCTCATTGTGCTGAAGAAAGTTTCCACCTGCTCTGTGTCTTCCAGCTCTGGTGAATCTCTGGAAGTCTCGTCTTTGTGTTTTGCCTCTTCTTGGTCTGGAACAGCTTCCTGTGGGTGCTGAGGCTGGACAGTGCTCGCTTCCTTGTTGTTGTTGTCGTGCTCTTGACTTTGGTCCACATTGTGCTTCTGCTCGTGTTTTGTCTCCTTTTGATCGTTGGCTTCGTTTTCCTCGTCCCCTTCTGCTGGTACGTCATAGTGTTCTGTCTCGGACGTATCCTGGGTAGTGTGTGAAGAAGGATCAGCTTCCTCCTCATTGACTGAGCTGTTGCCGTTGGTGGCATCAATGTCTGTGTGACACAGTAGACAAAACAGTAGATGTATATATCAGAAAAAAAGGGCATGCAGAATATGGTTTTAGTCAATATGTCTTGCAGCAAGTCTGAAGTCTGAGTTTTCATTAAACCGTGTGTAGCAAATTATGGAGCCACCACTCTGATGGCTTGCACAACTATCAGGCAGACTTATCATCTTTAACCACTGGCACATTACACCAACGCAAACCTCATGCTCATCCTTCTTTTAGTGTTTTAGCAAAATCATATAAACAAATTTCAAGAGCAGCCCTACATTTTGTACTGAGTGTAAGTAACGCTGCACTGACCTCTATAGGTTAAAAGGTTCAATGTGTCACCTAACATGGCAGTTGGGTCACGTAAGGTGTGACTGATTTTAGTCATGACCACACCTGACTATTACTTAGCGCTAAGCTTTGTGAAATGCCTTTCATGTCTTTAAGATTAAAGGACCTCAGCGTGGAATTTAGTGGCATCTCGCAGTGAGATTGCAGATTGCAACCAGTTGAACAGCCATTCCCTCACCCCTCCCTTTTCAAGCGTGGAGAGAAACTTCTGAAGCCTTCAAGTACAGTAAAGTAGCCAGTGTTTGCTTTGTCAGTTCTGGGCTACTGTAGAAACATGGTGATGCAATACAGTGGTCTCTGTGGAAGAGGACCCGCTTCCCATGTAAAGATATAAAGGACTTATTTTAAGATAACAAAAACTGTTTCAGGAGATTATAAACTAAATGAAAGCATGTTGATAAATATTATAGTACATTATAGTCCTTCATACCCAAAAATGTTCTTGAACTCTTCCATATCTCCCAAAAGTCTCACAGTTAAAGGGAAATTTCGGTTTATGTCAACCTGTCTCCTATTGTCCTAAATTTGTTTCAAGTGACTAGTGACATAAAAATAATAGTTAGCATGTTAGCTGTTAGCCTAGATACAGCCGGGGCGCATAGTAGCGTCAGACCTGTTAAAACGTAAGTGAACGGGCATACTTCAAGTGCAAAGTTAGTCCACTAAACAAGCGTTTTTTCCCACAAAGACCGCCTCATATCGTTAGGATAAATGTCAGAGAACATATAGAAAACGACATATAAACGTGTTGTCTTACCTTACCGGTGTGCTGCCATGTTTGTTTACCATCTAGCTCTGCTTTCCAAAGCGCGGCCGAAATATATCTCGCGAGCATTTCCATCGAGCAGTAAGGCACAGCACATTTCAGTTCGGTACGCTTTTTTTCTGTTTCCACTGTAAAAAGTTGTGGATGGTACCAGACACCCCTTATGTTGGGGTACCTAGCACACAGATCTGGTACTAAAACTTGGAGCTTTGAACACTACAGTCTGTTCATTGGTCAATAGTGGACGGTCACTCTGCTCAGGGCTGAGCTGTGGCTGGTTTTGGGGTTTATGTAACTACTGTTCATACCCTGGAGTTTTATCAGTAAACTGTAACTATAAAATGAGAGAATGTTTTGCTGCCTCTTGCGGCAGCAAAATTTCGGTGTGTAACCTCGTTCTGTGGACGATAAATCAGGTGCAGACTTCCCTCTGTGTCACCGGTAATGAGGAAATACAGTGGGTGCTGGACAGAGCAATAAGTGACAACAACCCCACCCACATTCAAGGGTGCTCTTTGCGGTGGAAACGCTAGAGTCTAGGTACCATGTCTGAAGGGTTACTTTTGGTTCCAAAGGTACCACAACAAAAGTGTTTGGTGGAAAAGGGGCTTCTAGTTGTTGCTGTTTTTAATATACTGAACTACAAACTATGGTGTTAAATTCATCTGTCTTAACTTTTTGTGACAGTACTAACTGGAACTATTGCATCACATCCAGTCTAATCCAAAGTATATGATATATTCTTATACATATAGGGATACAAAGGGATATATTCTAACATACTTGTATCTAATAAAGGAAGCACTACAGGCCCCCTCATCAGTACACTTAAAAAACAACAGCAAATATTCCTTGAATTGTCTTTTTTACATTATATGTTTTAAATAACATATCTTTGTATTCCGTTGAGGTACAATATGTATAATAGATAAGCCAAAACAATAAATCGGTAAAGAGTTTCCATCAGTGGCAGTAGCTCCTTCTCTACAGAGGTTTTGTTACTGCTAAGGGAAATGCAATAATGTAACTGGGGCATCCATCACTGTCCGCTCACTAAAAGGCAATAATCTATCCACATCAGTTCAGATGATGTACACGCAACAACCAGGCCCCTTTTGTTGTTGTGTGTGGCTTTTCTTTAATGGAATGCAGTAATGGTTTTGAGTCCAGGGAACTCTGCAGTGGGTGAAGCCATTGGTCGGGGACCCCTGACTTACCTGGTGTGGAAGGATGTTCTTCTGGTCTGTCTGGTCTTTCTGGCTCATCTGGTCCTTCTGCTCCAGAGTCAATGCTCTGGGTATCATGTGCAATTGGTTCTCCTGGGGTTTCAGGCAAATCCCTCCATCTGGAATAAATGTGAGTGCGCTTTGTCAATTGTAAAACTAAGGATGCTTTTCTGTTGCGCAAATTGGGAATTGTGTCTTATGCCACGGAAAAGCAACATCAATGAAAAAACATTATTATATCAACAGAGAACATCTGACAGGGTTTTTCCATCTCACTTTGCTGAGTGCTACTCTGAACATCTACCTGAAAGAGCAGTGTATACAAAATAAAATGTATAATGAAAGAAAAAAGTCACCTACTTTTCTCCAAGGTTCTGATTTAAATGATTGACAGGTTTAATCTGTTGGATAGACAAGACACAGTTATATAATCATATATAATTATCTTTGAGAACAAGTCATACTGTTTATACCAGATGTTATTAAGTTATCTGACTAGACACAGAAGCTGTAACACAAAAGCACCTTTTGAGGTTTGATGGCTGCTACTGGAGGAGACCCTGGTGGACTCTGTGTTGCCACATCCGTACCGAAAGTACGATTTGCTATCTGCATGCATTCCTCGAGAGTCTTGAGGAAAGTGGTGCATGTCGATTTCACCATGTTTCCAGTGTCTATGCCCGTCTGAAAAGGGCACACAAGCACACACATTAGCTATCATTAACCACTGTTGCTCTTAATGTCCTGACAGTATGTTGTTATGGTTAACCAACAAAACCTTCTAAAATCTAGACACTCATTCCCCCCACAAAGCACCACAGGAAGCCATTCCTGCCCGTGGCCATCAAACTGCACAACTCCTCCCTCAGTTTCAGCCACTCTGGGCCAATAGACTGGCACTTGGATTTAATTCATCCATCTGCTTTTATAATTCATAATTATCCATTAAATTCCAACTGTGTAATAGCGACTTAAAGGTACAACTATTCCCTGCAACACTGCCTTAACTGTGCAATAATTCAACTGTTGCTATATTCTGTGCAGTTATTCAACTGTGTAATGTTCTTCTGTATACTTACTTATTCTCATCAACACCTCCTGAATGTATACATTTAACATTCAATGCACATACTGTACATATTTCTTATGTTTATTCTATTTATTTATGTATTCTATTGAACATTGTAGCAAAATACATATTTTTATATGCGGAAATGCTAGTTTATACACTGTAATGTAGCACAACACATATATTTGTATATTTTTACACACTTTATAGACTTAGCAAATTACACATATCTATGTTTTTAATATTTTTCTTTTCTTTTATTTGCTTTATAGTTATATTAAGTACTTTTGATTCTGATTCTGATAAAAGAAAATGTGTTTGTGATAGCATTTGCTGCCTGTCTGGCCATTAGAAAGCGCAAGCACACAACAATTTGATGTCTTGCTAGTTGCAAATGGGCTACCCTATACTGCAGTTTCACACCAGCAGCAGCTTCTCTTATTTCATCGGCTCATCCAAACCTAAACCTTACCTCCGCCGTGTCTCCTGGCTCATCATTCTCCTTGATCTTGTTAACTTGTTGCAGAAGAAGGTCACAGTACAATCTGAGTTCTGACATCTTAGTTTTCAGCGCCTCTGTGTTCTCCTGGAGTTCTGTGATGATAATAATAGCAAACGTTCAAAATAGCACACTACCTGCAATCCATGCAACGTCAGATCAGGATGTTATCACATCCAATTACCTTTTTCTCTCTTTGTTCGGTTGTCTGTAAGGCAAGCTTTGGCTGTCCCCAGTGCCACCAGCCATTTCTGCCTCTCCGCTGCATTGATGGCTCTGAGGTAAAAGTACTGCTCTCCTGGTATGGTCAGGTCAACTCGCGTAGAGTCAGAGGAATTAACTAATGAAACACAGCAGCACACAGGGAGACATGCTTATCACCAGGAATACATCATAAAGCAGCAGAAAGCTACTCATACACACTTGCACAATGAGAGAGTGAGATTACACAGGACTTGAGCCACACCGACCTTGGATTTCACAAACTGAAATTTTAATGCTGCCCTTGCAACCTTTCCAGGCATCCTCTTGGGAGTCATAGTAAGACAAAGTTCCTCCATCAAGCACAAACCAACGAGGCTGCCAACCTGAAAAAGTGTTATCACATCATTGTTGAAACGTTGCTGATTAAATAGTGTGGTCATTTTTCAATACTGAAAAGCCACTAGTAAAAGTGGATATTAAAACATCGTTGTCTAATTCATAAACTTAAAAAGAGTTAACCCCTACGTGATGTTAGCAACAGCTAATCAGTTTTTAAATCAGATTATAATGACAGATGGTGGGAAGTGGCGACATTAGCTAGCGCTACCTGTTAAACGTACACAAATACGATTGATTTCTAATTCGTTAAGCAGATAAATTAGTCGACAACAAGCTTGCTAGTTTAAAGTGGTCCTTAAGCTCCGATAGTTGAAGGTTGCTAACGTTAGCCTACCGCTACCCGTTGCCTGTTAACGTTATCACCAACTCAACACAAGTACGCGGTGACGTTGTCATGCTAGCTAGCTGCCTCAAAACGAGCGCTAATAACCGACAACACGCGACGACTACGAGACTAACTCACCACTTATGTAATTGGTCCATTTATGCAGCATTCCTTCCATTGTTTAATTATGTGTCTTCGCCGTTCATTACTTGTTTATCATAACAAGATACGATGTACAGCTGATTGCAGCGACTCCATCGGGCCCCGAGTGTGATTTGTGGAGTAACGTCCTCGGCTTTACATCTCAGCTACGTCGGAGAAAGTGCGTAAACTTTTTCGTGAATCGGGCTCTAAGCTAGCACGAGCCAAGCTAACAACGTTCCACCCATTTACATCAGAGGGATTTAAGTAGTGTGGGTGTGTATTGTGGTAATTGATAGAACAAATAACCAATAGGATAAGAGGACATATAAAATGGGCGGGGCTTTGGGATGAATCTAGCCAATGGTAGCGGGAGGAGGGCTCTCAACTGAACAGTGGGTGCGTTAATGCAGAAGTTGGCTGCCACGTAGTTGGCATTCCTGCCATGTATTTATTTTAAGTACTGCATGTTTTAGGTACAGCTTTTTGTAAATTTTGCGAATGAGGGAGCTATTATCTATCAAAATGATTATTTTTTCTATTTGTTCGATACTGCCCTCATTGTTAGTGTTTGTCACCGGGGGGAAACTGCCTGAGCCAGAAGTTAAAATCGAAGTCATACATAAACCTTTCATGTGTCACCGTAAGTCAAAGTATGGAGACATGCTTCTTGTTCATCACGAGGGATTCTTGGAGAGTAATGGCACCTTGTTTTATTCCAGGTAATGTGTTGCATGAAACTTTAACAATGCTACATGTGCTGCTATGCAATTCTATGTGAATGCTTGCAGGAAAAAAATCACTGCTTGTTTTCACTGTACAAATCATTACATGGATCTAATGGACTACACTATGCTGCAGCCCACCACCTCTCAGTATCTGTGCCATTGTCAATTCAGACCTCAACATTAACCACTGGACTTTCTTTATAGTTAGGTGGCAATGTACTGTCTATATTTGTGATATCAATTTCTGTGTGTGCTGGACTTTTCTTTGTCAAAGAAAACTAATGGATCTGTGTGACTCTTTGCAGCCGCAAATATGGGGATAAAAACCCAGTATGGTTCACTCTTGGGAGTCGAGAGGTGCTCAAGGGTTGGGATAAAGGCCTGCAAAACATGTGCACGGGAGAGCGCAGGAAGCTGACAGTCCCTCCATCCCTGGCCTATGGCAAGGAAGGAAAAGGTCACTATTTGTAACACACAAAAACATGTTACAGATTCTGATCCCCCCTTCTTCACATGTTCCACCATAACATATCTGTGCTTCTTTTACATGAACCTACAGGCAAGATCCCTCCAATGAGCACCCTCATTTTTGACATTGAGCTAATGGAGATCAGAAATGGTCCAAGGTCACACGAGTCTTTCCGGGAGATGGATCTGAATGATGACTGGAAGCTCTGCAGAGAGGAGGTGTGAAATTCTTGAAGCTGCTTTTCTCTTTGCATTAAGAGCGTGTTGCTACTGATGAATGTCATTATTATTCTGTCTGCCCTACAGGTGAAAGCGTACCTGAAGAAAGAATTTGAGAAACACGGATACTCACCTAATGACACAGATCATGACGTGATGGTCGATGACATCTTCAAAAATGAGGATGAAGATAAAGATGGTTTTATATCTGCGAGGGAATTCACCTACCAACACGATGAGCTTTAAAGGACTGATTTTATTTACTTTTTTTACTTTTGTGTTTCATGAATCTTGTTTTTTTCTTACACTGCAGTTGAACAGTATTTTGGCTGAACAATTTATGGAAAAGAAGATCCATAATTAATTTATATTTCCATCCTGCACTGATAATGCCACCACAGATGAGTTTAGGTTACAGTATTGAAATTGTTTGAATACATTTAAAAAATAAATGTTTTTGAATTAAACAGAACTCAGGTTAATGTTATTTATGATGTTTACATGTTCTGAAAACTGAGACTGTGTGCTGTATGCAGGCAGCCTTGGTGTGATACTGGAAGATGGTAGTTTCTCTGTGTGTGTCTTCATTAATCACTAGAGGGCACTCTCATCCCAGACTCTTAAAATCATAGTTGAAGATCTTGATCAAATCAAACAGCAACAAAGTACTGTCAGGGGTCCATCTATTTCAGATTTTAGATTTCATACTGTTTCTGGTAAGTAAAATGAAAGAGCAGTCACATACACTTATGTATATTTCATGCCACCAGGACTGAATCACAGAGGAGTAAGTTGCAGTGATGAATATTCCAAAATCTGTTATGCCTTAAAGGAATAGCCTTGAATTTATTTTCATATTTTTTCAGTTCATGTATAAATGTACTGTGCCTTTAGCAACCATTGAATTCTCTCAGTGGCCTCCAAACTCTGGAGTTTGCAGTGAATAACTTGCAAACAGAAATGCTGCCCAAAAATAATGTCCAAATGCAAAATGGTCTTGTTGGACCCTGAGGAGGAAACAAAGTTTTAAAATTCATATTTAAGAACAATCCATAAACAGGAAGGGAGCAATACTTATACTCTTAGCTCTGTCAAATTATTCTATACTTACACTCTATGTCAAATATGTGACTCCGCACACCACCTTAAAATTAATGTGTAATGCAATGACTTGGTGGAATCATCGACTACTAAAGTAAAAATGTAAAAATAAAATGTAAATGACAGTCAGAGCAGATGTAACCTATGACTCAATGATCTATCAGTTGGCAGTGGTTAGGATGAAATCAGCTTTGCAGCATCAACAGGAAGCAACAGTGTTTCAAAGATTAAAGAAACCAGTGAGAAGTGTGATGGCTGTCAGCGCTGCTCTCGGTCTATTCTTTTCCCAAACATACAAATTAAAGCTTTGTAAGATTTTGGTTGAGTAAATCTTGACAGCGAACATAAGCCTCCCGAGTTAAATTGACCAGAAATAAAAACATGTCTGATGATGCAGCTGAGACAGAGGAGGATGCAATTGCTTTCTATTACAACAGTAAAGGCTAGCAGAAAGCTGAGAGTATAAAAGCCACTGTAAGACATCACAGTCGCTCGATTACATAGGGGTGCATGAAAATTGTACCATAATTGTGTACTACATAGAAACATGCTGCAAGTTTGCAGTTCAAATTATTTTAGTCACTGACTTAGAGGTCAAGTGTGTAGGATTTAGGGGCATCTATTGGCAGAAGCCGGGTGTGAGATCGTGTTATGATCATGAGGGAGTTCAAGTATCTCAGGGTCTTGGTCATGAGTGAGGGTAGAATTAAGTGTGAGATGGAATGGTGGTTTGGCGCAGCGTCTGCGGTGATACAGGAGCTGTGCACGATGGCAAAGCTTTCCATTTACTGGTCCATCAACGTCCCAACCCTCACCTATGGTCATGAGCTCTGGGTGGAGACTGAAAGAATAATATTTCGGATACAAGCAACTGAAATGAATTCCCTCAGAAGGCTGGCTGGGCTCAGCCTTAGAGATAGGGTAAGGAGCTCGGACAACCAGAGGGAGCTCGGAGTAGAGCCGCTGCTCCTTCACATCGAAAGGAGTCACTTGAGATGGTTTCGGGCATCTGATCAGGATGCCTCCAGGGCGCCTCCCGTTGGAGGTGTTCCGGGCATATCCAACTGGTAGGAGGCCCCATGGCAGACCCAGAACACGCTGGAGGGATTATAAATCTCATCTGGCCTAAGAACGCCTCAGGGTCCCCCAGAGGGAGCTGGAAAGTGTTGCTGGGTAGAGGGATGTCTGGAATGCTTTTCTCAGCCTGCTGCCCCTGTGACCTGGCTTTGGATAAGCGGTTGAAAATGGACAGATGGATGGATGAATGGATATTGGCAGGAATGGTATATAGTAGTCATATGTTTAGAATGAGTCGTGTATATCTACATATGGGTCCTCTTTCATGGAGTCTGCCATGCTGTCTCTACAGTAGTTCCAAATGGACAAACCAAACCCAGGCTCTAGACAGGGCCATTCACGCTTTTGCATTTTCCACTGTAGTTCTCCCACACGCTTGGCACACAACAGAAGTTTCAGTTGTGCAACCTCACTGCTAGATGCCACAAAATCCTACACTCTGGACCTTTAAACTAGAGCTAATCCTTATACAACTCTTTAAACAGATAATAGTGAATGGAGGTGCTATGATTGTACTGCAACCTTTCTACTTCTAAGTTAGTGAAGGCTGATGTGCACCCGCCATATCCTCAGGAACCACAAACAGATTTCAGAGTGAGAAAAAGTTAAAGCGCTAAAGCAGCAAACCAGAGTGTGAACACTGTGGTGCAACTCTCTCACAAAGAGCACCACTGTTCATCTCACCACTAAAGTGCATATGCTACCTGGCAAGATTCCACCATGCTGACCAAATCTGCGGGTGAAACTGGATGAGTGGAAAGGTTATATTGCAAGACAGAGATTGAATATTGGATAAGGTCTTTTAGGCAAAATACCTGGCAAGGGTATGACAATAACTGTCACAAGATAAAACAGAAAAAGGCTGTTAACCACATACCTGTGATTCACTGCGCTTCAGGCTACAAGCAAATATTCACTAGAATAGGGCTGGGCCTGTCTTCTCACTGAACCTCTTCTCCAGCTATCACACTGCGGTAAGATTATGCTAAATGGAGACAACACTGTGAGAAAGTACAACAGGTCGCACTATTTTAAACTGAAGTTTTCTTTCCTTTAATAAATCAACATTTGATAAATTACATTTTAATTGCAACCGTCACAAAAATACATTTTGATAAAATGGATTTGTAGAAAGGATTTACTTAATCACATCAAACTAACTGTGAAAGAAACACACTCGGTGCAGCTGTAGCGTGACTATTAACTTCTATGGCACTGTAAAGTGAATGGCAACTACTGCTGCACCAAGCAATGTTACTGGCTTACAAAAAGAAAATTTAAATGGGCCCAGATCATATTGTTCCCCTGAAAATATCCCAAATTACAGCATGTAAACAGAAATACTACAAAACTGGCAACCAACGTGTGCAGAAGAGTTTTGCAATATGACTAAAGATGACGTGTGAATCAAAATGATCAGTATTTAATCCACCTGTGTATTCCTCACCATAACACTGAGCACACTGAAAATAAAAAAATGGTAAATCCACAAACTCCCTCCTCTGATTCTTTTTTTCTCTTGTGATCAGTTTTGTATTTAGACATCAATTCAACAAACATCATTCTCAACAGTATATATTATTGTGACAAAAGAACATGATGCAGAGTAAAAGACAAAAATAAACATCTTTACAAAATAAATCTTTACACTTGTTGCAAAAAAGTGCTTAATGAGCGCCCAATTGTCTCATCTCCCATTTTTTAGTACGCACAGTTAAAATATTGATCATCACATGATCTGATTTTATCTACAATGAAATTTTAACCATGCGTTCCCACTAAAATCACCATATGCACATATGTAATGTGGGAACGTTAACTAGGCTGCTGCTGTGAGGCTTGGTTTACACAGCACCAGCGCTGATTGACGGGCTGCCTGGGGCAGATTTCACACAGCGTTGTCATCATGACTGAGCCTACACCAGGTAGTGACAGTCTTCAAAATAAAGAGAGGAGGGAACAGCACTGAAGGTAGTTAAAAATACCAGATCCTTTCCTAATATAAAAATGATGGTCTTGGCTGGGTATGAAATCCCAAAACTTACAGTAACAAGACGATGTCAACACTAAACCAACTTCAACTAAAACAGTCATGCGAGAAAGAAGTGTTTCAAGTTCAATTTGATTTACAAACTATTCTGAAATGTCATTAGAATCAAGGTGGCTTGAATTTCCTCTTTGACAGAATAAATAAATGTCCTTCGTTTCTTTAATTAGGCCTGCATGCCTCAGTCCTTAGAATAAGACATCTTCATGCTCTATCATAAGCTGCACCACTAGTTTCTGCTGCCTCATGTCATTCAGGGTTGTCAAAGCGTTCTGCTCTGGTGGCTGCATAAGCGTTGGACCATAGACAATTCCCAGGTTCTCAGCATTCATTAAATTGTCCTTTTCAAACTGTGTCACCCTGTAAAACACAAGAGGATGACAGGTTGAGGTTTGGAAGAAGAGTAGGATCAGGAATAATACAAAAACAGCTCCATGTTTTTCAATATTTATTATCAGCAGTGACAACTTCATGACAGCTGACATTGCCTTCACCTTGTGAGTATTTATGTGTGTGTCTCATTATGGCAAAAATGTGGTTCAGGTGACATCTACTGTAGCAAGAACTACCACAGAAGCAGTTTTAAGTTTTTTTGCAGGTGCTTATTTGTCTGTCTGTGGACCGATTTTTTAGTCACTGCAATAACTTCACAACTGTACAAGACGCACGCAGTCACACAACTTAACAGACGTGTAGGTTGAGTTTAAAGATGGCTATGGTCCAAGCAAGCAGGCTGGAAGCAGGGGCATAGGAAGTAGGGAAGAGGCTGTTGGCCCCTCTACTTTACGCCTCTGGCTGATATTGGTTTTAAGTCGCGGATTGCTGCATCATGGCAGGTGTGATCCCATCGCAAAAGGGTCTCTATTTCACAGTGGTTTTCTTTTTGGGTCATGAGGTTATTTACCTCAGGAATGTTAAGTTCAAAGATAAGGTTGGAATGATTCTTTCCTTTTCAGCAAATCCCATGAAAAGACCAAAGCTGATGATAATCTCTCTGTGGCATTCAGCCTGTACGACACATCTTTAATCAGAGACCATCTTGCGATGGGATCACACCACCCACAGAGATCTATGTTTTAAAAGAAATGTGGGCCAAGACCGTAAAGTTAAGGGGCCAGCGGGACCTATTTCCCACTCCCAACTTCTGGTCCCTTTGCAAGGACCACATCCATCTTCAAACTTCCAAATCTGTCCACAGACAGACATATACACACCTGGCAAAACACTCAAAACACCTTTTGTGTTAGTTTCCGCTGCAATTTGTGTCTACAGGACCACATTTGTCAAGATGGCACACACAGACTCACAAGGTGAACACAATACCAGCCAAAATGTTGCAGCACCACTGTCTGCCATTTCAAAATAAACTACAGTGCCAATGTTCAGTGTAATGAAGGAATATATCTTCAAGAGCAAGAGGATTATTACCTGTATTGCCATATTGCCTTACATGCAAATCTTATATCATTCATTGTCGGTTTTAGTCTTTGCAGGGGATCTGAATTTAGTTATAAAAGAACTAACACATTGCATGTCCTTGTACTGATGACTTGTGTGTATGAGCTGACCTCTTCAAGTGAGCCATCAGGTAACGCAGGGTCTCATAGTGGGCTGGCGGGAGTTGCAGTAAGCTCTCGTGGATGGCCTCTAGTCTGGATTCAGCATTTGGAATTTCTACATTACATCAGTAACATGATTAGTATCAGAGCACTGCAGGGAACCAGCAACACTGTAACAGCATGGTGGAGGAGTGGAGGAGCTCTTACTTGCAGCTTGAATAAATCTGGGGTACAAGTCAAACGGAATGACTGGAATGGGAAGGTCTCTTAAATAGAGCTTCAAAGCACCAGCAATGATGTTAATGTCTGCATAGGCACTGGCACTGATATCGGCCTTTTCACCATCTGTTGATGAAAAAAATGTAATTTAATTTCATATTTGAGTACAGTTAAAAGTAAAGGCTGAATGTTCTTGTGTACGTCACAAAATAATGGACAGTACTATTTCATGCTGTACTGCAGCTGAAACAAGCTTCTCATTTAAAAAGTATGAACCCGTGAACTAAAACCTCAGAGACCAGAATCCTGGGGCAAATAAATCTGATGTCAACAAACCTCGGTCAAAGGCGAGCTTCACATCCTCTATGTGCTCTGAGAAGCCAGATACTCTGTAGAGACCTTCAGATTTCATACCTGCAACAGAAAATTGGGAAGCTTGTCTCAGTTTTTTTTTCTCGTCATCACCCTCACTGCCTCCAATTCTGCACTGTAGACATAAAAAATGAGCTAAAGGAAATAGAGGCTATAGGGGACATTTTTAATCATCGCAAAGTGATTGCAGAATACTTGACTGCTTGAGTTGAGCATTTCTTAATCAAACGTTATGCTCTGCTTTCCTTTCTCTGTAATGACTGATGGGTTTTAATGTGATTAACTGCATATTACCTCTCAGCTCTATCTCTCGAATACACATGTCCACCACCATGGGTCGTGTTGTGTTATGAGCTTTGACTAGTGTGGTGAGGTCACAGCTGAACACTTTCTTTATCCTGCGCAGGTCCGGCTGGCAGTCGCTGGGAACCAGTTTGGAGCACTGTTTGTGTACATTCAGCCCGCAATCTAGAAGAGCAACAGGGAGATAAACAGAGAGAGAGATTAGTCTCAGACTGATGCTAACACAACCATCGCAGTGGGCTTAAGACAGGAATTTGCAAAGGTTTCCCAGAGTCAGTGATAAACTGCGCTGTCAGACAGCACAGCCGAAGCTAAGCCGTCTCCATGCACTGCGCCAAAGGTAGATAACGATGAGCATGGCTACATGAGCAGGGGTTCCTGTTGTGGTTGTAGTCACATGGATGCGCGCTGGACAGCTGGCACGGCCAGAGTGTGTGTTAGAAGTATGCCTGCTTGTGTGGCGGCACAGCTTGGAATGAAGTTTTTGAAGGAGCCGTACTTGTAGATGCGGGGTGTCTGACTGAAATCGTTCATCACAAAGACGTTTTTACTGCCTGAGCGATGTTAACGCCGGTTTGCTGATTGGGGTCCTCACTCTCAGCCGGCGCTCACAGAGAGAGAGAGAGTGCAGCTGGAGATAAGAAAAAAAATAGAGGCTAGACGGGGAGTGAGAGAGGACAAAGAAGCCTCTCCTGTTTCACATAGCACATGAGGTGTCTGATGATACCAGTGTTTGCCGCTGGCTTATCAGCGTGGCAAATGTCTCAACAACAAACACTCTGTTTAGGAAGAAAGCTACCAAGTCCACTGATGTGCACATCAGTTTCATGACTGGTCCTGTGCAGTGAATGAATCTTGTGACTATGGAGGACATGAAAACCCCACTGAACTCTCATATGCATTGAATCACTTAGATCTGCTGCTATATTTGGTCAACAATTATTGTTTATCTGATCTGCCTTTTATCAGCATTTACAGATTTTATTCGTAGTGATTTCTGTGGACAGAGGAACTTACATTTGGATGTCAGCATACCACATCACATGGCATTTCTTTGCACACTAACCAGCCATCAGGGAATTAGAAAATAGTGTGTAAAAACACGAAGCTGCCTTTCAGTTGACTTCAGTTGAGTGTGACTGTGATTAAAAAGTCTTGAGGGGGAAGAGAGTTCAAAAAGAGCGACAGCAGTTATAGCTGTGATTATATAAAAGTGTGAGGACTGTGCTTCGATGAATCACTGACAGGAGGATCTCACTTGTTTGTCACAGTTTTAACAGGAAAATAACAACAAAACATGACATCATTGAACCACCAATTAAAAAAGGAAAAAATTATGCAACTGAAATAGCCATGACAGTCGGTCACAGGACAGAGACAGCCACAGATCACACATTCAATCCAAGACTTATGTGATACTCTTTGTGTAATACATGACATGCAGCTTTGATATTGGAATGTTTAGTTACCTGAGCAGCGGACACCCTGGGCGATGAGGCCCCACATGAAATTGGCACAGTACTCGCACCAGTGCGGCCCTCGAAAGGTGTGTACCTGGGGTTAAAGACAACATGGTTATACACACATTACATATTGCAAGTCATTGCTATGTCCAGTCCAAACTGGAGAGAAACTCCCCTTTGATGTACAGGACAGAGATTACTTTGTGATCCCAAGCTACAGTGGATGGGACCCCTTGCCAAATGAGAGCATTTGTATATACAAGGCAGATTAAAGGATTTACTATAATGTGTCTGGCATCTGCTCCTGGGCAATCGGATACATGCAGGCAGGCACACAGGCAAGCCTGCAAGTCAAAATAACAGATGTACACCCACTGTGCACCCTGAAAACACAGATAATATGGCAAATGAAGCCACACCTGCATGCATGTGCACGCACGCACACACACACACACACACACACACACACACACACACACACACACCTTCATTGGTACTTTCAATAGGTAGCAGTCCACTGATGAGTGAAGAGGGCATATGGCAGGTGGTGAGTGGATGGTTTTTGTTCTTTTTCAAAAGGGGGTATACAAAAAGCTGGGGGTCATTATAACCTGCCTGTTAACTGAAACTCAAGATACAATTGCAAGAATGTTAAGGCGCCCCGAGGCAAAGTATCCCTAAATTCTCCTTTGTATATTTTAAGAACCATAACTCTGTTCCGCTTTCCACAATGTACTGAGCACCTACACTCTTTGGCTGAGAGCGGAGGACTCTATGATACTTTTCAACTCTGTGACTGCTTTTACAAAATCAGCAGCCCACTACAAAACTGGATCTAAGAGCTTTAAAATCAATGTTAATCAATGTGCTCTGCTAATGGGCTGCAGTATAGTGTGTCCATTAGTTCCCCTCAGTGCATATGGGTGTCAGCTGCATGTGTTCTCATCAAAACAGCAACACACACTATGGTCTGTGATGGGACAAGCACACATCTGAGGCAGGCAAAACATATCTGTAAAAGAGTTTCTCTTACTGAAAGGGGAATTATGCCCATTTTCAAATTCCATACATGTTAATTTTTATGTCCAAAAATATTAGTAAACAGGGACAACTCATTGCTAAATAAAAAAACATAGAGTGCTAAAACTCAACTTTATGATGTCGGTAAGTATAAAGTGTGGAGCTGCTCCATAGACAATGAATTGGTAAAGATGTTCTAGATGACACTGAGAGCACCCAGGGGAGTGTTCTGAGTATGTAGTACATTTTTGGTTTCACAACTGAGAACTCTACAACTGAATAAAGCTCATTTGGTCATGAAAAAGAAAACAAAAAAATGTGGTCCCACAAAAGCCCATTCATTGTCTATGGAACAGCTCAAGACTTTATACTTGGTCATGACAAGTTGGGGACTTTCCTCTCTGGTTTCTGGCTTTGAGGGAGGGTAGCTCATGTTCACAAATATTAATTGAACGTTTCCTGGCCATGGAAATAACATATTGGATTGTTTAATTTGGGTGGTGTTCCCCTTTAACCACTGCAGGAAACTGACAGCTAATAATTATGTATGAATAAATAGATCTAGTTGTCATTAGCCATCTAACTTTTCTTAACAAAAACCTGCTTACCTTGAAGTTGTGTATCTTCTCATAGGAGCACTGCTTCTCTGGTGTATCTTTCAAGGCACTCCGTCGCACCAGAGGGGAGGTGATCTGTGGACAGGAGGCCAACAGTTTAATAGGCTTCCACAGAAGTGTTCCCTTGCTGCCCAGTTTGACTCCCAGAGCCAAAGCCAGGAGCTCCTGACGCTTCCTCTCTTGTCTTTTAGTCTTGTGAGTAATCAGCTCCCCTCCTCTGTTTTCTTCAGCCTCCATGCTCGCCTGGTCGGGTTCCCACAGACTCTCCATCTCCTCTGGGGAAAGATGTGAGGGAGAGACGTGGGTGCTGTGCAGCAAACGCTGCCGACAACAGCCCAGCGCAGAGGCGGCGGTTACACTCCACTCCCCTCTGACCCAGGAGGGCGACTGATGACAGGCAGCACGGGGTTGACTCTGCATCTGGTCAGAATCCAGCAGCGGCAGTGAGCAAGAAGAGCAGGGGGAATGGGACCGGTAGTGGGCGGCCTGAAGGCAGGAGTGTGCCTCACACAATGGCCCTCTTTCACATGCCCAGAAAGGAAAGGGAGAGAGAACAGGGTCCCTGATAGGGAGGGGCCAAGAGGTTGAGAGTGAGGGCGGTTGGGTGCTGTCAGGACCGCTTCACACAGCTCAACAGCTCTGTAAAGCAGGATCAATAGTGCAGACGCCCTCTTTACAGCACAGAGCACACTCCCATTAGCACACTGCCTTCCGGACACACTCCACTTCACTTAACTGGAGATAATACTCAACTGCCAGCAGCTCTCAGTCAGCGCTGGGTCTCCTAAATGGGTCAGTCAACTGCTCAAAGACTGACCGAAGATTCTCTGGCCTAACAGAGAAGATGAGGCTCTGTCCTCGTAATTCAAACAGATCTTGACCTCCAGCTATGTCAGTCGGCTGATGGAATTCCCCACACTGCCGTCCAGACTGGATCTTCCAGACTCTCTGACTGCACGCTACTCCCGCCAATCACAATCATTTGTCTCAGAGGACCAGCAAAGCCAGACCATCAACTGGGATTGGGAGGGATTACTGCCATAATCCTTACACAGGGAATAATCCCACAGTGCCCAAATCCAAGTAAAATCCCAAAGCAGGCTCATTTGCAGGTCTGCAGCCATACAGTATTTTGGCAGTGGGGGGCTGTTGCTATGTTCATGCTGAATTTGTCCCTATTAGCTCTGCTTGTAAACAACCAGTAAATGGCACCAGAAGGCTTTCGGCTTTTCTAATTAATCAAGAAGCTCTGAACCATGGCACACAACACTGACAGCAGTGGAAACTACATGTCAAATAACAAGCATCTGTAGATTTTTGTGGCAAACAGCTATTTTACCGAACAGCTAAGCCCGAACATAAGGTTGAACTGATTTATTAAACAGGGAGGAGAGGTCGTGAAGCCAGTAAGCACTGGATTTGTGATGATAAAGAGGTGGGGAAAAAGCAGAGTGGTGAAGCGGAGAGCAAAAAGACCCAAAGGGCAACTGCAAAGCTGAGATAAAATGAAAGGATTGGCAGCTTACAGACTCAGTAGCAAAGTTAAAACACTGCTGCGAGCCTTTTGTGTACCAGCTTTTTGTCTTTGGGGGCAACAGTTAACTGGCTGATAGCTGAGAGTGACAGGACAGGTGAAGATATTTGTCATTGTGGCTGACATTCCTTGAAAAGACCTACACATACCATACCATACAATGCAGCTCTGCAGCTAAGTCTGAGCGGACAGATGAGGAATAGACCACTTGCAGATATTTTAGCCTTGCGAGGTTGGAAGGAGGGAGGGAGGGAGGGAGGACGAGGGCTCTTTGTCCGCAGGCAGATGGCTTCTTGTCTCTTAAAGAAGAGTGTGGAAGAAAGGACACAAAAGGTGGTCACACAACAAGCTCTGCTTTCTTTTCAGTGGCTTGGCTCTTTTATTCCCGCAAGGCTTTGTGAGAGCACAGCTGAGCGGACTCTGTTGTGACTGAGTACTTGGAATCATGGGAAAACGGCACAGTGGGCGCTGACACAGTAAGACAACAGGATACAACTACCCACATGCCAAACAAAACAGCCCTAACAACATCTCACACAAAAAGAAAAAGAGGCATACTATGAGGGGTATAGCAGTCAAAGATATCGGCCATTATTCAAAAATTGCCACTGTGTATCCACTAGGAACACTGAAAATTGATCTATTTTTCTGTGGCTGCGACTGAAAAGAAATAACCTTTTCTAAAAGGCTGGAAATGAGCACTCACAATGCGGTGTGAGGAACATTTTTACATTTTGCAACTAAAACACAAAAATAGCAGTTTTTGCATTTTTATAGCGTGAAACTCTCGGGAGAGAACAGGTAATTATCCTAACAAACAACGTGACAATTTCTTTGGAAATCTTTTCAGGGCATGCGAGCAGACCAGCCTGTCAGGAGCTCCCCACTGAGAGTAAACCAGTGTGGTGAGTATCAGGAGGTATGTGGCAGAGGTTCTGACCACTGAGGAAACTTCTGCACATGCAAAGAAAAGTAAACTCAGGAGGTTGATCTACAGGTCGAGCCAAGCAACCCCCCCCCCCCACACACACTTTCTGAGGGCATTTTAATTACACAAGAATCTGCAGTCACAGCAATATGGTACGATCAACCTGACACTGAGTAAATACACGTGAATGTTGACTATACAGTGAAGCCACTGTGGCTGTAATGCCTCAGGGCGTGGCTGTGTAATTGGTAAACATGAAGTTCAAACAGCAGCCACAGATTCGAGCTGTCGGGCCGGGTCTCTGCTTTTTGGGCACATAATATTGGAGCAGACAGAAAACACTTTTTCCCTTGACTGGCAGGTGGTTTTCAAATGCTGTCTGCCAAAGCCTGTCATCATCACAGCTGTCACTGACTCAGATCCTTGTGTATAAAACTTGGCAGGAGGAATATGAAGCCAGTTTTACAAAAGCGCCTAGATAACTGACAATGTGACATTTAGACAGAGACGTGCTCCAGATTTACTTGCCAAGTGGAGGTTAATTGGAGGCTGCAGTGCACTAACTTTCAAACATTATAGCTGCAAATCAAACAGAGTGCAACAGCGCTGGACACAGTTCAATAAAGCACTGTGTGTTAAGCAAACACAGGTCAGTCTGCGTGTCTTAGAGCACTTGTGAGGGCAGTCCTCTACTCTGAGGGCTTCCTAGAGGTCGGCAGTGGCATGTGTAGCTCTAAGCTTCTATGAAACCACTATAAATCAAAGGGCCACTGACTGACCCATGGCCATCAGGTCAAAAATGCAGCATTAATGGCTCATGTTTCAAGTTACAGAGTCCAAACTGAAGGCTGATGATATTAATACTGCAACTGATGCTCCTGCTGACAGGGCTGCCATGTGTCTGTCACTGACTGACATTTTGAAAACAAAGAATCCCCCAAAGCAACAAATCTGGTCTTCAAGCTGAGAGACACATTAAGGATACAGCTCATTAAATCTCTGAAGAAGGAAATATCAGAATCTGTCAATATAAAGGGACTGGGTGTGAATCTCAGTGCCATCATTAGGTCTGAAAGAGAGGAGGAAACAAGTTAAGATTGCCACCTAGTGGAAGGATAGTTTGGATTCTCCTCCAGTATGAAAACAGACATCCCTCATCCCTCATTGATAAATCATTCACAGACTTTAATCCAGCAACACCTCACGAGTGCCAATGAATACAATGTGCAATTTGTCTCACCCAAGATCAGTGTGTCTGATATGCATGGCAGGCAGAGCAAAGTCCCAGTCCCCTCGGTCATCATTACCTTTCAGAGGACGCAGCGAAGCATGGCAGTAGTGAACACACCCAGGGGCTACTGGGATAATGTACGTCTCACTCACAGGACAAAGTGTCCTCTCAGTCGCACTCTCATCCTACTGTAAAATGTACTGGAAATGTTCAGCAGCATGGAAGTAGATCAAAATAATGATATTATACAGTTTCTGTAACAGGACTGAGAGAAACGTACCAGATCATTTACACACACTGAGATGATTTTTTTTTCTAAATTAGACGTACTACTTAAAATAAAAACATATAATCATAAAGCAATTGTGGGTTATTATGACTACTAGGACTGCATGTAACTGAAGTCTCTAAGTAATAAAACTGAAATAGTTTAAGGGCTTTTGATAACAAGTTGAAAATGGTTTTCAAGGCTGCTTCTTTAACACTGAAGAAATGTCAAATACCAATATTTGAGTTTGGTTTCAATCAGCTACTTCTTTCATGGTTTATATGGAGCACATTGGAACTACATTCAGTGTTAGAATGGTAAAATAACTCAACTCTCTTTCAGCCAGATTTTCTTACCAAGGACAACAGAGATAGAGCTGCAGGTAACAATTATTTTTTATGACTCCATTATATTTCTTTTGTTCACTGATTCACAGGTTAGTCTCTGAAATGTCAGATATTGGTGTAAAAGGCCAGATTTCAGGCTAAAACTCAATGACATTAAATTTGGGATATGCGCTTATTCGCTTTTTTTGCAAGGAGTTAGATGAGAGAATCGATATCACTCTCATGGAGCTCGTCTGGCAACATCATGGTGACAACAAATCTCAAAGAAGTTACTTATTAGTCCTAGCCAAGAAATAGTCCAGTACAGAACCCACTGTAACACCCAAATTTGTCATTTTAAAGGTGTGTTTGGACCAAATGAAACTAATTTGTTGCACGTCACAACTACAATAAAAATCAATGCAAAGAGACAAACAGATGTGGGTTTGCATCAAAGGATGAAAAAAGACACATATAAGCATCTGTGTAAGTTGAAATGTTTCAACCGGAGCACAAAATTTGCATGATGCTGTGTCGCCAAAGCCTATCAGCACTGAGATCTCATGACATCTCCAAGAATAGGAAATATGGTACAGACCTCTACGACTCATTGTCAGTACTGTACAGGGATGGAATAAAAATAAAAGGGACAAGGCTCGGAGAAAAGGGAGCGAAGCCACAGGTTTACATGGTAAGTTCCAAAAATACGCATTTGTTACTTGATTCCAGTGTTACTAATGTTAGCAATAGCTGCTTTCCCCGGTTAGTTAGCACAACCTTTACTCCAAAAAACTTTCCAGCGGCTGTATTCATGCAAGTAACGTGTGCCAAACATTTGCTTTGCATTTGGTCTGAACATACATTTACACCTCGGTTTTTGTACAGATAAAACACATATCATATAACATGTTAGTGATTCCTAGAGGTGCTGGAATGTGTTTAAACAGAGACAGGCTAGCTGTTTCCCCCATCAAGTCAATGCTAAGTTAAGCTAACCGGCTCCTGGATGTAGCTTCATATTTACTCTACAAACATGAGCATATTATTTTACTCATTTAACTCTCAGCTCAAAAAAGAATGAGCATATTTCCAAAAATGTAAAACAAATCCTTTAAAATGATATAAAAACAGACAAAAGCAGCAAATCTGAGAAAATCAGCATTTTTAGGTGAAAAATAAACCATCACACAGTTTATTGATTATCAAAGTTCTCGACAATTTGCAGTCAACCTGCTATTCAGTTGACTGACTTATCGTTTCAGCTACACAACAACATCTGTGAAGCTGTGTCTTGCTCAAAGACAATTCACTGAGGTACACGCTTAAACTTTGTACCTTTCAGCCTCTCTAGTCTCACCACCCACAGTGCACATAAAGGTTCAGGACACTTACATAATCACTCATGAAACTCACCTTTTCATCTCTCTGGAAGGTGACCCTGCGTGGTTCCGTGCGTCCGCGGCTCAGCCTGTGCACCATCTTGTCCTTGAGCAACGAGGTGTAACCGAGATGCTCGTAGATGGGGTTCGTGGTCATTTTGGCGATGTACTCCGCTGCCTTGGTCTCAATGTAGAGAGTGATGAGGGCATCTGTCACAAGGTCATGGACGGACTCGAACCTCTTCTCCCCGACAAAGTGCTTCCCATCATAGAACAATCTGTAGTTGAGGGTCTGGTGCCCAAACCTGGAGTGAGATACATGAGGACAGCGGGAGTAAAGGTGAGCAGTGGTGGGATCTGTTGAGCGGATGAATAAAAGTGAACAATGAGGACACTGAGCGGGGACTGGGCTGCTGATAATGTCGACCTTTCGGGGGATTCTGTGCTGCATACTGATGGTGTTGGTACCTTAAGGCCAAGGTGTGTGTCCCTGGCTGTCTTTGGCTCTCCCTGATGAGGTAAGCACCCTCCACTCCTGCCAGAAGCTCATCAGCATATTCTCGAGAGATCATGCCATGAAACCTGTGAACAAAAATGCAGCTCGTGTAACTCTTCCACTAATGTAATTTTATTCAGGATTTACAATTTGGATATTTTAAAAATACACATCCACCCACTTAGACCACATCTAATGTGGCAGTAATGATAAATGAAAGCATTGCCTGCACATTAATATCTGAAAAAAGGCCTAAAAACAATCAGAGTAATTGCGTCACACTCACTCTCTGCCGTAGTATTTGGGTCTGCTCTCCATCTGTAAGCAGAGGAAGACATATTGGCTGGAGCAATATGATATGAAAGCTCAATTAAATGGCTTTGCAAATTGTTCTTACAGTCTGTGTGAAAGATAAAGGAGTCCACACCACAGAACAGATTATCTCCATCTGTGCCCCCACGTCTATTCGCAGCTACCAAACCATAAAGCCAAATCACAGAGTGTGGAGATGAATTAGAGGCAGAGCAGGAAAACAGCTGGTGAAAGAGGGCCAGCTGCAAAGAATTAATATTAAGTGTGTTACTGTGTCACGTCGGGGTGTGCAGTGTGTCTGCAGTACAAATCAAAGGATATGGCGGCTAAAAAAGAAAAAGAAAAAATCTCATCCAGTATATGTCATCTTACATATGGACATTTTTATAATTCAGACCCTCTTTCCGTACACCTCTACAGACGACAGTGTACAATTCACAGTTATGATTATAGTGCATTTGGTGATAAGTCAAACATCATTTTGTGCTCTGAATTAAGGAGTAGCCACTAATCTCATATAGCCAGCCCACAGCTTTCACTTTGCTCATCACAGCGTGGCAAGACTCAAAATAGGATGAGACATGCATCATTTCTGGTAGGCTATACAATGGAAGCTTGACAGTTCTCACAGCGAGGGCAGTTACAAGTATAGTAACTTGTTCTGTTCACACAGCCGAGGGAGTAAAGTCTGTGCTGTCCATCAACAGTGTTCCTGCTGCGTGCACAGAGTTTACTAAACTTGTTACTGTTCTTGCTGTCAATATGTAAAATGTTCACGTCCTAAAACAGTAATCAGTGGTCCATATGAACACTGAAACAACTTTTCTGTGCTGTAATCATTCCCTCTCGATTAGGGCTGCAACTAATGATTACGAACAGAAAATATTCACATTTAAGAGGCTGGAATGAGAGAATTAATATTTTTTAAAATACTCAAAGCGATTAATTGACTATCAAATTACATAGCTATTCATTTTATAGTTAAAACTTTGCCCACAACCCAAAGATATTCATTTTACTGCCATGGGGGGTGATGAAACCAGAAAATATTCACATTTAAGAGGATCGAACAGAGGATATTTTTTATGTCTTAAAAAATACTCAAATCCAATAAATTTTATTAGTTGGCGATACACTTAACATTTAAAACGTTTGATTTGGGGAAAAAAAACAACTGATGTTCATACTGCAAATATGGCAACGATTCCTGTTTCTCAACACTTTTCCTTCTCCTACACATTTTATGTGAACATTTTAAACATGTACAGGTGACCAGTGTTGGGAAGGTTACTTTTAAAATGTCATAGGTTACAGATTACTAGTTTCCCTGTTAAAAATATAAAGTAATAAGTAATGTAACTATTTTGATTACTTCATTAAAGTAATGTTACTAATTACATTTTATAACTTTACTAACAAATGTTTTAAACTGTGCAATATGCTGGAAAATGTCCAGAAACCAAGGTGATATGTAAAATCTACACTCTTCACTCTCATTGGTCGACTACAAACGTGACGTATCATCTGAAACATGGAAGTAGCTACATGCCCATTAGCCACTTAGCACAATCATTACTGCTTTGCCGACAGCGTCATTAACAGGCGGCTCGCTCAGTGTGTGACGTGCACTTGTAGATAAAATATAGGCCTATATTAATGAAGGTTCATTAGTACGGTTTTGTATTTCTCTGTAATGTAGCACAGTGTTAACAATGTTACTGATACTATTCTTTCTCACACCTTGAACTCAAACCATTGTGTAATAATTAAATTAATATCATAAACATTCAGGCGACTGGTCGACTAATGGCCCTCAATGACGACTACTGGTTGTCTCGGAAAATTCTTAGTCATGGGCAGCCCTACCAGTGGGTGTGTTTATTTTTAATTAAGCCATTATAGGTTTCAACCACACTCTCACACATACTTTATATCGACTATTTCATGGGATTTGTATTTATGTATGTGAAACAAATGAACTTAACTAAACTAATAGTCCACTATTAATTGATTAATCATTGCAGCACTATTCTCGATCCCTTCCTAATGTGTTTCCACTGTAAGCGATAGGCGAACATAAAATCCACACTCATTGCTCTGTGTAAGAATCTGTTCCAAAGTTTCTGAAGCTAATATTAGTCTTCAGCCGTCTGAGCTGACAAATCAAGTGGATATCATCCAGAGTTAGTCTTATCAGTACAAACTTCCCTCTTTTAAGACATACTTGAAGTATTGCAAACACATCCTCTAAGTCTTTTAGGTTAAACATGAAATGTGTTTTGAAAATGGGGAATTTCTCCAATCCAAAATATATCTAAAGCAAAGAATAAACCATGCAGTTGGAGGATCATGCTTGATTTTCAAACTCTGGCATACCACTGTGTTTTAAGAGTTACTCATGAGGTGTGGGAGTTTCAAGAAGCAGCGAGTCGCTCCCCATAGGTTACTGATTGGTGTGGCTCCCAGCTGCTCGACTCAATCATTTCTCAGTGAATGTTTTCCATGCTAAAACCTGAGAGCGAAAACTGAGTTTGCAAAATGCAGTGTGGGCCGCAGTCTGCTAGAGTTGCTTTTGAAGCAAGGGGGGGGTAAAAAACCTCTTTGTTTTTGAGAGAAATAAATGGAGCCAGCTGGTGGTTCAGATTGAACCTTGGTAGTTCATTGTCACATTACAAAAAAAAATCATTTTGCATGTTTTCCTCATAATTCTTGTGTCTGTCATGTATTTTTCATCTTTTGTGGAACACTGCATCACATCATTCTGTAATCAGTGTGGTAGTTATTTGCTTATTATGACGTCTGTGTCTATGGTTGGTGTATGTTATTTCAACCATTTACAGTTGCAACGTCTAAACTATCATTACAGGCTTCTCAAATGTGAGGTATTACAGGTCTTCTGTTTTGACTTCACAGACTCCCTGTTGATTTCTGAGAATCTGACTCTGGCATTTACTATTATTTGCTCATATTTTAAAAATAAATGGTTAAAAATATAACACCAGTCATTCCAATCCTATACAATGGCCTGTGGTATGCAGATTTACAGATGCACTGACCTCCTGAGGACATGTGATCCTCTTTGGTCTCGGGGCTTCCTGCTGTAGCTGGTACACTGTCAGAGAAACACACGGATGTTAATGAGGGCCCTCTGCCCCTCTGAGTTATGTACACAGCTCAGTGCATGCTGTAATTACATACATGTTGTAGATTTGCTACCAAAATAACAATCTCAATACACACTTAAGATGTGCGGGAAACTAAGGGATGCGGTGCAGCTTTCCGACACGGGACGTTCCTGGACATCAAACGACGTCTCCACTTAACAGCCTTTAGTCGGACTGCAGCTCTGACTCAGTGCAGAGGTAACAAGGTACAACAGGAGCCATTAGCTTATATATGCAAGGCTAGGCAGCCGGTGGTTTACATGACTGGAGCCATATATCTGCAGTCCATTTGTGTGAATTAAGACCTGTTGTGTACTTACCTAATGTGCACTTATATGGAGCTACATTAGGGTCAAATGTTTTGTACTTGAAAAAATAAAATTTGAAACTGAAAATTCATGTGTTGATCTTGAATTTTGAAAAATACAACAATGTATTCAAAATAAAAAATAAGTATATGAAACGTTTTTTCAGGTGAAATATAATTTTGATTCACTTTCGTAATCCTTTTGAATGAATAATTTATTTTCACTTTTCACTTCCATATATATTTTAACATTTGAGGTCTTATTTATTATTTTCAGTTGCTGTTTTATCTTTTCAGATTCAGATCTTATTTTTTCACTTTCAAATCTTTTTTTCACTTTCAGATCTTTTTTTTTCAGTTTCAAATCTGTTTTTTGAGTTTCAGACTTTTGACCCTGATGTGGCATGGGGGGCGTGGCATCAACTGAGAGGGGCGTGGAATCATGAGTGACAGTGCCTTCAGGGAACGTAGGAACTAAAAAAATTCTGACTCAACACTTATATAGCCTACACCATATTCATGTGACTGGCAGTGTAGAAATTGATGCCAGTGACAAACTTCCATTTAGAAATCTGTTTTAGACAGTACTGAGCACCAATTGCGGTATAAGAGCGATAAATTATGCCAGATTTTGCAGATCAACAGCCACATTTTAAATGCTGATATGTCCGATTTCCACATAGAACTGTGAACGCAGCGTACTGTCCGTTTTGCTTGGATGATGGCGTCCGGTCGGTCACAAAAACAACCCCTTAATATTTGTTATGATTTTCCAAAACTTAATTAACATTTCTCACCTGTGTGCTGGACGTATGGGCTCCAGCAGATTGATCCGACCGACCGGATGACATCATCACAAAGTGGACACAAATACTTACACTTCCAAATACACACATGCAGCAAATCCAAGCTCCTCTGTATCAGAGTATTGGGTGAACTCAAAGTAAATCAGTGAAGCAAAGTGAAAATGGAATTGAGGGATTTGTGCTAGCCGGAGTAATCGCCACAAACACCTCAGCAGCCTTGCAGAATAAGCATGTAACCATTAGAGAATAATATGTGAGAAAAGCTGAAGCCCTGCTGCTGTTCCTGCTGTTTCCCTCTCTGTCAGGATAGACATGTTTCCACAACAGAGGAATCAGTAGCTAAGTGCGGTTCCTTTCTTCATATCAAGTTTGTAATCCTTCATCTTTGAGAACTTGAGTTTCTCTTTTATCTGACAAACTGCCACATTTCCAAACCCAAAATCCTGCCACATTAAAGGTCCAGTGTGTTGGATTTCAGGGGATATATAGCCAGAAATGGAATATGATAAAATAAGTATGTTTTCTTTAGTGTATAATGACCTGAAAGTAAGAATTGGTGTATTTTCCTGACGTAGAATGAGACGATTATATGTACATAGTGAGCGGGTCCTTGTCCACACCAAAACCAAACTCTGGCTCTAAATAGGACCACTGACGTTTTCAGGCTGGCCACAATAATCAGCAGCGCCTCCACAACAAGCTGAACAGTGTTTCTTAGTGTATGATCACCTGAAAATAAGTACTGTTGGGTTTTTGTTACCTTAGAGTGAGCCACTTATATCTACATAGGGAGCAGTTCCTCATTTATGGAGATCACCATGTTTCACTGCCATGTTTCCACAGTAGCCCAGAACAAGCAGACCAAACACACACTGGCTCTGGATAGGGCCATTCGTGTTTTTTTCACATCTTTGCGTCGGCCATCGTAGTTTGCAGCCTCTTCGCAATGACAGCGTCAGAAAAAAGCTAATTTTTTAAACGTGAAACTGCTTTATTCAGAATTTTTCCGGGTTTAAATCACAGAGTCCATTTCTTTTTTAGAGGAAGAGACCTTTGCGGATAATTCTGCTCCCAGTGAAAACCCTCTGAATGTCTGGATCTTAAGTTATCAGGGAAAAAGGTGAGCACAAATTATCAGGTGCTGAGCTAGCGGCTCCTCTGCAACGCGCCAAACAGCGTCAGGGAAACACTGATTCGTAACGTGGAACTGCTTTATTGAGCATTTTTACCAGTTATAATCACCTGGAGACCTCTGCAGATAATTTGGCTCCCTGTAAAAATGTCCTGAACAAAGAACACTGAAGGATTTCTAACCAGGAGTTCATGCTTAGCACATGGGAGATGTTTCAGCTGCTTGCAATCTGCAGTCCTCACTGCTAGGTACCGCTAAATCCTACACGGTCTTTCCTGTTTTATATTTCAATGCACTCGCTCCTACATGTACGTTTTGTTACTTCTAAACTTTGTAAGATGCAGATGAGTGCTAAAGGCTGCAACAGTGTCGCCATTATTTACAAGCGGCACTACAGCAGAGAAATCCTTGTGCGAGGCTGAGCTAAGTCTTCACCACAGCAGATTCTCCGGGCAGGAAAAGGAGGACTCCTCACTGTGAATTTTCATGTTTTGTCAGGCTGACTTAAGCCAACCAGCAAGATCTGGACATCATCCATTCCTGTGACACAGTGAGCTCTAAAAATACCTCAGCAGAGGTCCAGAAGAGTCAGGAGAAGATGGGAGACTTCAGAAAAGCAGCATCATTGGGAAAATTATACGGAAAGAGACGTTTAATTACAGGAAAAACGTATATAAAGGCTTTAAATGGTAATTGGTTAAACTGTAATCACTGTAAGGACAGACACAGTTTCCAGCTGAAATTGTGTGTGCTCTGCTTTAACAAATGCGCTATATATATTCTGAGGAGTCAATCCATTTCCTCCCACATGGCAAAAACACTGTATAATGAGGTGGGTGTTCTGAGGACCCTATTTCAGCTGAGCCTCTTTGCAGGTAGAAAATCGTATTTTCCCCGGATGACGGTAACCTATTTTACTCAGAGATCAGGAATCTGCTGCTTTGCATTTGTGCATGCGTGAATGTGTTGTGTGGGCGAGTGTGTTTGAGTTTGTGCCTTTTGTGTGTGTGTGTGTGTGTGTGTGTGTGTGCGTAGCTTTTTGGAACCTGCACCGTATTTAATTGTACTATATACAACAAAGCCCAATTCTTCCAAGTATAGAAATGTCTCTCTGCTATTTATAGATCCAAATAAATGTGCTGTTGCGTACAGAAACACACTAAAAGGTCAAAATCAGGTCAAGTCAGTCAAAAACATTGCTGTTCAACATATAAGATGAATTGATTACTCACAGTAGGACTTCCATATGGGCGGTTGGTAATCCTCAGGGTCTGTTAAACACAAAAATAAAGCAGGTTTCTGTTATTACCTCACAGTGGTGTTAATAGACTGTGCCCTGTTTTCTCTCATTATAATCTCCGTATCTATCCCTTTCCCAGTCGACTGACTGTGAACCCGTCGCCATGATTATGTCACTGTTGTTTATCTCTCTTTTATAATTATGCATATGGCCTCACACTGTGCAGCTGCCTCTTGAGATGCACCAGTGAATACACTTCTAATCAGTGTCTCCGCTTCAAGGACAGTCAATACAGATGTCTGCGTGTTTCGCTAAACATCGTGTCAGCACACACCTGATTTATATTACCCGCCGGCAGGGTCTCAAAAAACACACAAACACACCAATCAAAATTAATGTAAGTAAATACAATTTAGCTCTCGCAACCCACAGGAAGACTTTCCTTTGGGAAACATGGTGTTTGATTTGAAATTATGTGAACACATTCCTGAAATATATGACAGTGCTGTTACATTAGCTTGAAAAGAGTTAGAGAGGTGATGAAGTAAATGCCCCGTAGCAACTGATAATTTACTGTAGTACCCAGCGGATGAAGTAATGACCTGTAATAAAACGTGTCGCTAAATGAGTCAGAAATGTGGCAAAATTTGCTGCTGCACCACACTGCCAGTAATGTAATAAAATGCCCAGCCGTCACTATGACATAAATAGTACAGCATATTTTAACTCATAATATAATAATCATGGTGACAAAACGTTTTTAACCACATCTCACAGCACAGCAACTCTATACACTGAAGAGGGTCAAAAGATGTGGTTAAAGGCTTTATGTTAAGCTCCTGTTTCCAAGGTATGAACCTTTAAACTCAAATAATAATGTTGTTTCTGTATTATGTTACAAACAAAGCTACAATTAAAGGTATACTATGCAGGATTTTCCTTAAAAACAATGTATAATCGCATATGGAAGTAATTCCTCTCAATCATCACCCATGTGTGGTGGTGTATTTCTCTGCAGATACTCTGCCCGTATTTCCTCTTATTTCCTGTGCATGGGACGTTTATGGGTTCCCACACAGCACTCAGGTGAGGTCGGGGCTTTATAAAAAGGTGGTAACCAGGTGCCAGACCATAAGCAGCAGGCATCCAAGAGGCAAAGCATCGAAAAAAACGCCAATATAACGAGACAAAATGCTAAATGAGTGTGAATCTGGGGTTGGCTTTTACTTTCATTTATGCTAGTGACTGCATTTATAATCCTACATAGTATACCTTTAAAGGGCCAGTGTGTAATATTTGGCATGGTTTATTGTCAATCTGAATCTGAATCTGAATATTCTACCCATTAATATGTTTATACAAGTATATGATCGCTATAAAATAAAATTCGTTTGGTTTTCGTAGCCTTATAATTATGCTTTTATATATATACATAGCAAGGGCCTTGCTTTAGAGAGGTCGCCATCTTGCGCCGTTATGTATGTAAGGCAGCCCGAGCGGACAATCCAGCCAGCCAGAGAACGCGTTTCGCGTGTATAAATGAACCAACGAAGACAGCGGAAGGAAGGAAGAAGGAGGAGGAAACAGCAGAGAGTGTTGGTAGTTCGTCGATAGAGAGTAGCGAAAAGTTTTTTAAGTTATAAAGTTTGCGAATGGACCACACTTACCACGCAACAGGAGAGAATGAACCCGAACCGTCATCTGCGAGGAAAAGAAGACGCAACTTCACTCCTTGTGATGCACTCTCTGCGGCGCTTTTCCTCCTGGTGATATCTCCCCAACAATGGTAGCAGTAGCACCGAATCCCATTCTGTGCATTCAGCCTCTCTTATCGCCCGCTAAGCATCAAACACATGGAGTTCCTCATCTGTATGCTCCGGCTCAAACAGGTATGGCTCTGGGTCTGTGTCCGCTACAAGAAACTCTTCAAAATCGCGTTCAAAGTCGTCCATTGCAGCTACTATAGTCCGGAGATATTGCTAGGCTAAATAAACAGCTGAGCACTGTTTACCGGCTACGCTGTCAGTCAGTGTGCGGGCTGGAGATTGAGCAGAGAGGGGAGGGGGGTCCCCACTTAGTATGGCAAACGAGTATGTGTGTAAAGTTATTAAGTGTGTCTGTTACGCCAGAAGAGTCAGAGTTTGGGACGGAGTGGAGTGTTACCGGAGTTTCTGGAGTGCTCAAATAAACGGGCCTTTTTCCCGAACGCTCCTCTGGTCTCCTGCTCGTGAGTGATTCATTACAATATCGTAACATGGTTTAGATTTCTAAATTAACATTTACCTCGTCGCTAGATAGACCTACTCCTGAAAAAATTGTGCGCAAGGCTTTTTGTCCCTACGAGGCCACCGTCATTTACCCGACGGGAGGGGTGAGCGAGTGAGCCCTGCAATCTAGAATTTGACCACTGATGTCACTGTTTCCAAAGGTTTTCAACCCATTTTACACACTGGCCCTTTAAAATATTACAACGTAACATTTTTGCTCATCAGTTGAAGCACAGTACACCCAACAGAAAGTAACTGTTTCTCTAATGACAATCATGCAACTAACTGGTAATATTTCCATGCAATTTACAATATTTAGCCATTTCTTGACAGGTTTTGACCAACTAGCACCACTAACATCTAATTGCATGTCTAAATGTTAGTGCATGTCACACAGGTTCCCACAGTGAGACTGACTGGAAGGATTCAGTCATACAGTATGAATCATGGTTGTCTATTGTTATCACAAGGGCAGATGATACTAAGCACAATATGCACAAAATAGCCACTATAACAATAAATGATTCATCTGCCTCTCACATGTTTAATGTAATATCTCTCAATATTGTAATAGCTGTAGAGTATTGACACCATTTGCCTTAAGATTAAGCCTCGATTTCACAATTCAATTCTGTCTACTACCGGGTATGATCTCCTGAGAAACTGAATGCTCAATTTACGGTACAAAAGAAGTGCGTCAACAGTTGTGCAACCACAACAAGTAGAGCTTTTGTTTTCCCCAGTAGCTATGAGTAGCTGTCCCCAGTTACCAAAGAGCATCAATGAAAATTCTGCAGTTGCTATCCCCAGCAGCAGAAATGGCGGACAGTGTAACAACCCTAGTAACTGTGGAAACTCGACTCTGCAAAAGAAAAAGAGCCATGTTGCTGGGCTCTGAGGAAAATGGAAAGTGACCCAGTTGTCACAGCAGCACCAACTATGATACCACTTGGAAATGCTCGGCATGGGAAACACCAGAGGCCCCATGATATGATTTTATTACAATACTTTTCATGATATATTATTATTGCAATTTTAAACGTTTTGTGATATGTTGAGTATTTCAATAACATACTGCGATTTACTTTCTGTTTTTCAAATGCAAAAGATGTCCCCAAACTTTGTCGACATCTGTGTAATCTAATAAGATAAATGCTTTCAGTCTGGTCATATCTCTCTTTATACCTTTTTATTAGACCAAAATGTATCTAGTTGACCACAAAAGCCATTGATTTTGTTGTTCTAGTAGGCTGTCAGAAGTTTAATTTGTATTTGCAGTGTTACTTTGTGTCTGTGCATCGACACAATATTGCCATGCAAAAATATCGCAATACTATGCTGAATCGATTTCCTCCCACCCTTACTGGAAACGCTAGCAGGGTAAAAAGTTGTCTCTTTTGTCTCTTTCCACTTTTATCTCCCAGCACCATCGCTGAGGGACTCAATCGTCTGTGTGAATAATGAATCACGTTGGTCCAGAAGATACATGTTGCTCAATTAAAGCATTCCTTTGCACTCATCAGCAGATCGGGACCACACCCCTCAGGCCAGAGGGAGAGAAATGCAACACACCTGAGAGGCATTTGAAAACCAGTGAGCACTTGTTGGATGTGGGCACTGACGTACAGGCAGCAGAATTGTGAAATCTACTCATGCAAATGGCACAAACTGTATCACAACTTCTCTCAAAGTCTCTGTATATTCCTGTGCTATATTTATCTGTTTAACTGACGGCACTTACAGAGCAGGCAATCAGAGAAATTCTGTCATGCTGGTTTCTCTGCTGACTGTAGCAGGAGCTTGACTGGAGGCTGGTTGCAACATTATCAAACATACCCAAAGCTCATCATTGCCTCTCATAATAATAGCGCCGTTAATTTGGTAAGAGTTGGATTAATTACACAGGAAAGACAAGATAGGTGCGTAAGATCAAATGCTGAATAATTATGTAAATGATGAAAAAGCAGTTCAACTGAGAAGTGGATGCTTTGAGGGTAAACGTTGCTAAAGCCCTCTGCAGAATGCCTGCCTTCAAATACAAATAAATAGGCTTCAGGCTCCGTTTGCTGATGTGTAGCCAAGCTGCCTCGGAAAATGTATTGTCCTTACGCTGAAGCTTTGTCACTGTGTACTGCGCTGGCTACACTCTGAAAGATTTATTCCACTGCGGCTTGTTTAAAGAATGTGATTTCATCTGGTCGGCTGCCAAATACTCGCTTTTCAATCTGATTCTTTTTAATGACGAATGGCATTTCAGTCTGGAATTCTGCAGTGAGCTCCGGCTCAGAAAAGGGAGCTCTTAAGGGTCGATTCTGATGCAAACACCAGCACACACTTGCGCAAACACACACAAATACATTGGGCTACACTGTACATACCCACTTTCAACCAAAGACACACACATATACGTGCACGTGTATAAACACACAGAAAAAGAACATCAAAAAGAATTTCTAAGCAGCTCAGAGTTTGTGCAGCGTCTGATGATCAGGGAGAATATAAAATTCTGGAGCAGCCGAAGGGTTCTTCCCCCCCAAAGAAACAGCTATTAATTGTGTTGCCCTCCATTACTCACCAGTCAGAGGCATTCAATAAAATAATTACCGGCGGGTGTTTGCTTTGGTGACAAAGAGAATATGTGATGAATGAGGATCAAGCTCGCCTTAGACTTTCATCCCCTGAGATAACGTCTGCTCTAGAGTCTGCGCACATGCAAAAAAAGAAAACTGCCTCAGCACATAAAACAATAACTCATGTCGAGGTA